ATTGGTCGAGGCAACTAAACTGTTTTCTAGCAATTTTATAAAGCATTAAAATAGTCTTCCCATCTCTGTGCCCTCCAGATGTGTTGAACTGGTTGGCTAAGGCTGCACCTAACCAATAAAACCATTAAACAAACTATATAACCAATACTGAAGGAAAGATTAAGAGCAAAAATTAAAAACAAACAAATCAGCAAAATTAAAATGTCAATATTCTACTTTAGCACTACTGAAATTTAAATTAAATAATATTTTTTCATTGCCTAGAAAGGATAGGACTACAATACAGAGTACTCTGTATTAGAGTACATTCCTTTAGGAAGGAGTTTTACAGCTGGGGTACTGTGAATGGGATGCCCTATCTTGAGTTCATAGTACCTTAACATTTTTAAGGAATTAGGTAAAAACCAGAATCTCAGAAGATAAGTATAATCTGTGATAATTATAATAATGTCTTCTAAATACATCACACTTTTATGAGTATAAAATATATCCTATATATAGAACTTCAGCAAATCAAGCTGTTTCATGGTCCTTCCATATGGGTGAGCATTAGGGGTTGTCAAAGACAGCTTGAATAATCTAGTATTCTATCTTCTGCAGGAGACATATTCAGTGGAAAAATATGTAAAACACCTCCAGGATGCTCTTGATATTCTTTACAAGGAGGTAAGAGTTTGAGACACTCTAGAAGGCTGAATTCTTGGCAGCTCTATTAAATATTGCTCACTCCTCCTGGCATTTCCATGATTATGTTTCATTCCCACCATTCTATCCAACCAGCTGGCACTGGTGCAAACATCATTGAAGGATAATCCAGTGACTTTGAAAACCACTGGCCAGGCACATGGCTGGGATTGTAATATGAGGAAAATGACACCATGTTACTATATTTTCTTCACCTCAAATAACATGGAACTAGTTCCCTAAAGTATACTGTAAAAATGAAGATCTTCTGCTTGAGACAGCAGATGGCAAGTTATCATGCTGGTTCTGTGAATTTCTAGTATCCCAGGTTCTTTACTGGTGCTGATTATGAATATTTGTGAAATAGTTCAGGAAAGGATGGAGTAGAGTTTGTTCAGTTATCCTGAGGACACAGCTAACCTGCAATTTCCCAACTTCATCTATCACCACCTTTTAATGCTGTTTAAAATCCTGAGCAAAAAAGAAACCCAAAGCTTACAGGTCCAGTTTCAGCCAGGGAAGAGGTACCACACAGCTTACTTCCCAGTAGCTCTGTCTGTTTTCCCCTTTCCTTCCCTTAGTCACAGTAGGTGGCATGAATGTGTGGTCTGTCATGCTGATAAAAAAAGCTTTGAGTTGCCAAAATTATGCAGTCATCACTAATACCTGCAGAAAGAGCATTATGCCTTAGCAGACACACCTTCTGGTTGACTCAGTTTTAGCTATAATGTAAATATTATGTATAACATTAGCAAAGTGCAATAGCTCATCACTGCTCATCTTTCTCTGCTTCCCTGTCTATGGGTTACATAAAGGCCAGGTACTTTCAGAACCAATCTGTGTATAACCTCTCTGTGTTGTTTGTTGACTAGCTTGTGCTTTGGGGATCAATAAAGCTGGTTATTCTAATTCCTGCAGCTCCCTCGGGCCTTTGTCAACATTGTGGAGATAATGGAACTCACTGGGCTGCGTCAGATAGAAAGGGAAGAATCTGGATGCGTCCTTTCAGGGGCGTAAGTAAGCAGATCATGCATAGCGGTCTGTACTGAATTCTATTTTTAGGGCTAATCTGTACCTTCTTCATTCATAAACCAGCCACAAAGAACTTTAAAATCTGTGCTCTGTCAGATACTATTGGATCTGAGAGCTGTGAGGCAGCAGATGCTCTAAATATAACATTGGGTTCAATTTCTCTGTAACTCACATGGGAACAGCTTTCACTGATTTCCATTACAGATGCAGCTACTTAAGAGATATAGCTTTGAGTTCCATGGTTTTTGTTTAGATAATAGCAGAACTGAATGCAATCTACAAAAATCAAAACAGTGCCAGAACTCAGAATTTAAAAGTATATCGATTAAGATATTTTCTACTTCTTATCTGAATAACCGTATCACAACTCATTACTTTTTGCTGGGGGGAGTGAAGTGTTTTGTTCATATTGCTAGTTTCATTCTCCAAGGTAAAAGCAGAGAGACGACTTCAATATTGGAGGCTTGCCTGGAATGTGAACCTTCTAAGGGGGGAACCAATGGTTCTCCACATGTTGAACAGCTGTAAGTAGCATTAACCAGCCTAACCAATAATGAAGAAATCTAGAAAGTGAAGTTCAGCAACAGCTAAAGGGCCATATGCTCCTCAGCCTCAACCTCCAATTCAACAAGCCACACTAAATTCCCATCAGGCAAAGTAGACTTATGTGCCAAATTTGCTACATGCAATCTGGCATCCTAAGTTATAACAACAATGCACTATCTTCAGCCTAGAACAGAAGCATATTCTTCTGGTCAGTCTGTTATTAAGCCAACAGAGATCTGGTAAAAAGAACTCACATTTTCGCTATTGTTACCCAAACACAGAAAATTATATTGAGACTGACATGGATCAGTGTATTTTAGATTTTTTTTTTCTAAGCCCTTTAAATTTAAATTGTTTGGGACTGGTCTTCACTTTCAATGTTTCTCACTTGTAGGAGTCTTTGTCCATGTTTTCTAAATTCTTGGGAAAACTCTCCTGAACCACAAGAAATGGAGATAATTAACAGAGATTTTCAGGTAAAAAGAAAGCCCTTATTTACTTGATTTCAAGACTTCAGCCATGCATCCTTTTAAATAAACACCATAGGAATGGAAAGGAAATCTGTCATGGACTTCTTTTAAAATGATTCTGTGATCTACCAAAATAGAACTTGTCATAGCCAGACGTAAATAAAATTCACAGAGAATGAGATTATTAAACCATGTCTCACATCAAAAAATGCATTGCAAAAGGTGTATATTTGGAAATATTGCATGGTGGAAAAATGGATTTGGGGATGTTGACTTTAAAGACAATTGTGTGTGGTTTGGCTTTTTTCTTTCTTTCTTTTTTGCAATTTAAAAAAATGTAGAAAATTTAACAGGACAAAGTAGCACTTGAAAGTGGTACTCACGTGAAATGGGTTTAGCTTGATCTGCATCTCTTATACTATATATACAAGTGGTTTATTTTTTTTTTCTAGGTGTGGATACTGGAAGGCAAAAGAGCACCATCCATATATGAATGGCTCTGCAAAACCTTAAGTCCACTAAAACAAACAAACAAACAAACAAACACACACACACACACTTTAGGAAGAAACCTAAATAGTTTAGTTACCACTGAACATGCTCAGTGGCCATATAACACTGATCCAACTGATTTAAGAGATAGGAAAACCAGGAAAGAGAGAGGACAAAACAGAATATCCTGGGAAAGGGCAAGGATTGGTTGCAATAGAAGCACTCTGTACTGCATGTACTGTTTCAGGTCCTACTTGTAGCTTGAAGTTGGCAATCCTCAGAGTGATGATCACCCAAAATTTCTTGTTTCAGCAGTTGCCTATCCATTCTCCTACATAAACTCACTTGTGACTCACATCACACCCCAAATTCTCTTTTTCTTATTATCTTTTCTCTGTCATTGTGTACCAATTTCTAAATACTTACTTGCAATATGATTTGTGCCAGAAAATTTAATGAGACATGGCAGAATCTTGAGTCTTTGGGTTTGGTGACACAATTATGGAACTCCTGCTTTGAGAACCTCAAAAGCAGGGTCTTTCCATTTGTCAGAGAATTATAAAGAAAGCTCTTTTTCAGAAAGCTCTGGACATTCTGGATTATAGCTGAAAATATAGCAACTGAACAGAGTAGGTTTTTTAAAAAAATAACTTATTTCAGGAATCAAGTTGGGTAGTTGCTACCCAGCTTATACCACCATCTTTCTGTCTGAGTTATCATTTGTAAACTGGAGAAAAAAATGACCTTGAAATTTACTTCTTCTCATTCCCAAACAGGATAAAAGTACAATGTTGATCAACAGTGGCCGTTACGATCAGCGGGAGGATTTTGCCATTGTTGTGCAACCATTTTTCCGAAATACCTTCCTATCACTAGACAGTGTAAGTTGCTGTTTATTGCTGAAGCATTCACCATTACACCCTAATTTGTTTTACTTCATAAGATACACAGGATGAGAATTACATCTTCCTTTTAACCACATTCTCTGCCTTGACTGCAAGGAAAACAGGAGCAAGTAAGCAGAATCATCAGTTCCCACCATTGTCCAAGAAACAGTACAATTCAATTCTGTTGATCATATTTGAAGCCCCAGAGAATCTGTATGAACTCAGTTTATAATTTCTAGAAAGCAGGGATTATCTGATTCTGGATCTCAGAGACAAGGAACAATGTCTAAAGCTAATATGTTATACCACAGACACACAAATTACCACGACTGATTAGAAGTATTAACTAGGCAGCCAGAAATGTAAGCAGTTGAATTAAAGGGAATGTTAAAAAAAAATAATAAAAATAAAGAACACTGACCTAATAGACAAGGATTTCTATGAGAAAAGTTAGGGCAACCCATGTTAGAATATTTTTAACAGGTCTACCAAAATGATACCTGGGTTTAAGACATACATTTTTTCATCCAAGTGCACACAATTAAACATCTAAAACAACTCTTTCCAATTCCAGCATCACATCATTTTAGGCCTACTCTGAGTATCTCTTCATTACCATCCCCTCATTTCTCAGTTGGTGAATTGGAACTGAAAAGCTGAACTGCTGAAATAGCTTTTGAGAAGATGTCAGGTGACAGGAAAGCTTGGTGTTGGTGATTAATCTGTGATAACAAGCTTCCATACTAGTATTCACTTCATGTTGCAGTCATTGAAAGGAATTCTCAAAATTATCAATTCATTATGCTTCAAAAATTATCCAAGTAAACAATAGAGCCTTATGTCATCTTGTATATTTAACACATTCATTACAGCATAAACTTTTGTGGACTTAAGTCCACCAGATTTAAGGCAAGAGTTTATTGGCTTCAAAAATATTCATTCCTACTAAATTAGTTGCATGCACTTTAAAATTTTCTCTCATCTTTTCATTTTTGAACAGGTACCTTATTTGCTTTCCTTCCTTAGCCACTGAGAGCCAAAATATACTTTATCTTCAGTAAACTTATACCTCTGATTACTAAAATATCCCAGGAGATCACAAAAGGACAAAAATTTCCAATTAAAACCAAAAATATTGAAAACAGTTTAAAAGAACAGTTAAAATGTTATATTAAAAGGTGTTTTTAGAAGTGAACAAAGAAGTTAGACCTATCTATTCAGCAAGGAGTGCATTCCAAAGAGCTTGACCCCCTTCATCAGAAGAAGAGCCTGCTGTAACAGGAGGCATAATTCCTCAACACACCTCTAATGAATGTATGTGTGTTTGTGTGTGCTGGGGGTGGGGATCATACAAAATGAGGCATTCTTTCAAATAGCCTACAACTAAATCATATAGGGCTTGAAGGACAGCTGTGTCAGTGGTTCATTCTGTCTATGAAGGTCTATCTATGTAATTGATAAGAATCGAATCTGACTTGATGGCACATAATCAATCAAGTGTCAGTGCTAAATTTTCACTCAGAAGTAAGATAAATGCAGGGGAATGGATATGGATTTTAACCCTGTGTTGGGAGATGGAAGGGAGGCCTTTAATATAGACCCCCCTGCTTTTTTTTCAAAGTAAGAAAAAGCACTGTGATAATTGCATTCCATCTATTAAAGGTAAATGTTTATCAAAATTGCCAGTTGGAAAAGACTGCCCATTGCTCTTGCAGCATTCCAGCCCTACAAATTTCAGACGGTAAGGTTTACACATTATGAGAAAAGCCAATTCATAACTGGTGGTTGTTGGAAGAGCTATATTTATGCAGAATAATCCTGTAACTTCTCTTTGTAGGTAAGGTTTGACTAGCAATTGGCTCAGAAACAGGAGACAAGGAGCCAACCATTACATGAGAAATGCCAGGTCCTTGCTAACAAGGAATAAATGTATTTTTGAAATGGAATAATTATGTTTTGTATTAAACTACAGGAAGGGAAACCAGACCTGAGTTTCTTTGCAGTGGATTGCTTTCATTTCTCTGAGAGAGGTCATGCTGAGATGGCTGTGTCACTCTGGAATAACATGGCAAGTGAATCATAGAATCACTGAATTGGAAGGGATTTCAGAATTCATCTAGGGCTCACCCTCATAGCCATCTTAATGTGTTTTCCTCCTGTCCTTGAGATTGGAGACTATGTTGCTCCCCAACAGCCTAGTTATTACTGCACCTCAACAGTGAGGCTGGCCAGCATTGCTGCTCTTACACAACTTAATGGGGGTTGTTTCAGGGCAGGGATTGGTGGATTCCCAGGCATCCTGTTCCCTTCCACCCAGCATCACCTATTGGCAGAAAAAACAACCACCAGTCCTTCTCCTGAATATGGGGTGGGATGTGTGCAACATCATTATTTACTTCATTTTGCCTTACTTTGATATTGGACTTTCACTACATATACATGGTTGATCTTTAATTTTGCCAAAAAAATTCTGAACTGATGGGGCCTACATTTGATCTGAGGAGCAAGTGACTTGCCTCTGCACATGTCTTCTCCTTTCCCAAGGTTGGGCTGGAAAAAACAGCTCCATATATGGAGAGTTTTCCCACTATTCCCACTAGCCAATCACAAAGAAGGAATGGTGCTGGTGTAATAACTGCTTCTATTCTTCTGGGGACTGGAAGTCACATCATGATGGCTTAAAAGTTCAAGCCATAGAAATATTGATCTGATCAAACTTATGGATAGAACTTTTAAAAACACACAATGTATCCCAGAGGAATTTTAGTAGATTTCAGTGGCTGTAGTGGGACAAGGAAAGTTAGAACATCAGATGCCAGCTCCTTAGTATAAATTAGTGTCAGCCTTCACCAACATGGTGCCATTCAGATGTGTTTCGTTTCAATTTCCATTATTTCTAGACAGCACAGCTTTTAGCTGCAAGCACAGCTCCTATAATCAACATCCCTGGAGGTTTGAACTGCAGTTACATTTTTTTTCTTAGCAAGACCTGACAATATTGTAAAGATGAACTTCCTTGCAACCTTTTCTGAGCAGGATTGCTGAAAACTGACAGCATAGCTTCCCACCATTCTGAGACAGGAAATCTATGAAAGTATTAGTGTAAAAAAGAGAGGAGGAGGAAGAGGAGGAGGAGGAGAAGAAGATGAAGTCGTCCTGCTCATGTGCCCCAATCATTTTTTGCTTATCAGCCTCACGAAGAAGAAGAAGAAGAAGAAGAAGAAGAAGAAGAAGAAGAAGTAGTCCTGCTCATGTGCCCCCATTCATTTTTTGCTTATCAGCCTCACAAATATCTTAACTGTAGCCCTTGGCCAGCACAAAAGGTTGCCTACTCCAACTGTAAAAAAAAGTCAGGGCACACCTTTTGAGAATAATTAGGAAGGTCAACAATTTTTAGAAGGCTTTAAGACTTATCAAAAGAACTAAGCAATAATATAATGTTTATATTATAAGAAGCTGTGATCAGCTTACAAAAATAACCCGAGGTGTTTTCTTTGCTTTTTGAGGATGTTATGAACCAAGAAACTGAGTGTATTTTCCAAGCCAATCTGAGGATAACTCAGGCAGAGGGACTTTTCTCTTTTCCACCTAACCACAATACCAGCACGCCCTGGCAACATCTTGTTTCTGCTTTGTCCCCAGCCAATGAGTGAGACAGCAGCATAAACTTTTCTCTTATTCTGATACTACCCAGTGGCAGCTTCTAGGTGCATAAAATCTGTTAGACTTTGAAGTTAGCTGGGAGAAGAGGGAGGACATGGATCAGTGATGGAGGCAGCAAATGCAGATAATAAATGCCAGTATCATTTTCTGCCGACTCAAGGATGAGTGGTTAGTATTTCAAATCATTAGTGAGGAAAGACCCACAGTGATAATTTGTAGGGTTAAAATTGCCTTGTGGTTCAGAAGTTTATGCACTTTTGTTCCTTGGTTAGAAAATCTCTGTTTAGAGTTGTTTTATTTTCTTGAATTACTTGAGTGTTATACATTTCTTAGGCTAATGACTCTTTCCTAAACTTTTTGCAAGGAGTAAGAACAGAAGGAGGGTTGTTTTTTTAAAAAAAAAAAAAACTTTCCCTCCCAAGGTTTTTCTGGGTTAGGCAATGTTGGAATCTCTGGTGGAATTCTCTCTGTTGCCCTACCAGTAAAGTGTAGAGGAAGTATGCCAAATCAGCACATTCTCAGCTGCTTTTGCCAGCCACTTTTCTCAGCTTCCCAGGATTTTTTAAGTTGCTCTGGTCTGTGTCAATGAACAGTGCTGGCTTCCTGGAAGGGTTTGTGCATACAGAAGTTCCCAGAACAAAAAATACAGGTTTTATGTGGATTAGTAGGGCTGGGCAATGCTTTGGATTTGATTATGGAGATGTCCTTTGTAGCATTTGGGAGCACAAATGCATCATCTGTCAGTGAGTTATTAAAACAGCAGCTGCTTTAATGAGCTGCTAAAAGGACCTATGCTCACTGCCTGTTTCCCATGTACTCCAAAGCACCACACAACCCTTTTGTTTGTTAACTTCCACAATAATGATGAGAATCAGCATGACTCAATAGAAAGATGAGATAACCTAGATTAGGATAACTCAGATTGTTGCATCTAATTTGGTACTGCCTACTTTGACTGACAACATTTCTCCAAAATTTTGGAAAAGGGTCTTTCTTGCCAGGAATGGAACCTGGAAGGTTTTTTTAATGAAAAGGATGTATTCTGTTACTGAGTTATAGAGCTTAGGGTAAATAAGTTAAATTCCTTAGGGAATCACTGAGTATTTTGGGCTAGTGGCTCTACTTCTATCTATCTCCTATACAATATGAATAATAGCCCAAGCTGAATGTGAGGAACACAAAGTTAAAAAAATGTAAGTCATTAATAACTTGCTCCTCAGTCTTAATATATATCCAAGCAATGACAAATGAAGATCAAGAAAGTTATAGCAAAAATTCATAGCAGTATGACCAAATTAAGAAACTATTTTGCCCAAACAGAGGTGGGGATGTATGCCTGGTCAAAGTGGAACATGTTCCCTGTTTTAAGTTTATTGTAATAATAATAACCAAGAAATGGGTTGTCTCCCCATCACACAAGGAGTTCAGGAAGTAGAGGAAGAGCAAAACTTCCATTGATTACATAGCCCATCCAAGCTAAAGTCTAGCCTGTAGGGCTGTGATAAATGTGTGCCAGAATTGTTCCCTCTTTAAAAGGAGGAAGCAATTAAGCATTCTCCAGATCATTGCGGAAGATGGAAATGAGAGTGGGCTGCAGGCTACCCAAAAGCCTCATAACCTTTGTTGCTCTCATGCCTGTTAGGGATTCTACTCAGGTAGCTAGAATTCCATCTCAATAAAACTTAAACACCAACAAATCAATATTGCCTGTTGGTGTTGTTGATTTCATTCCTCCTTTAAGTTGTGCTGATTTTGAAGAGGAGTGCTGAATCACCTTTTGGCTAGCAGCCAGCTCATTCCTATATTTCTGGCTAGCTTTGGGAAGCTAGGACACTAACCGGCCAACTTATGCTCACTTATCCTCAAGTGAATCCCATTAAAATAAGGATCAGGTTGCACAGGTCTGACTTCTTTCCATTCATCTCTAGCCAATTAAGCTCAACTACATCTACTTCCCGGTCCTGTCACAGAGAAGCTAACAGTATATATATATTCTAGCCCTCCCACATTCATTTATTATTTTGCCTTGTTAATTTACCACTTAACATGAGCTCCACGGTTGCTTCTAACAAGCTATTTTTATTCCTTTGATGTAGATTTCACTTCTGCAGGCTTTTTGTGGCCTGCTTTCAGGATGTTTGCACGGTTACTTAAGTATAAAAAGTTTTGCCTATATCCATAAAAGGGAGCCTTGCTAACATTTTCCATCTCATAATTATCTAAGTATAGTCATATATTAAGTATTACAGTGAGACAGAAGCAAGAATAACTGAGTGCTGCAATATACAGTGGGGCAAAAAAGTATTTAGTCAGCCACCAATTGTGCAAGTTCTCCCA